TAAGAGAACAACCCAGTCGTTATAATCAGTTATACCTAAGACACAGGAAGAACAGCCAGGAAGACAGATAAGCAAAACGGAAATCCCATCATGACCTCAGCCAATATCTGCCTTGTGTCCAGGTGTCTGCCTAGAGTGCTAGAGGTACCATGTTCGGTACCCAGTAAGGGGACTTGGACTTCTAGTAATTCCCTTAATCTCTGGGTAGTGAGATTAGACGCCAGTGTGCATTATTGCGCACGTAAAAAAACCTTAACAGTTGGAAATCGAAAAAAGTAGCCTAACGGTGCTGCCCGGGAAAATTTGGAATTAAAAATCTACCCAAATTATTTTAGGATCTTCGCTGGTGCTACAGAGCTTGTGCACTGTGCTGAGCTTCTTCTGACTCAGACTTGAGTTAGAAGAAGAACGAAGCACTTATGGGTTACTACCTGTGTGCCATAAAATGACCTTGGCCCCCAGGTCGACACAGCCTTGAGTGGGTACCGGATGCAGTCCCGGGAAAGTAAAGGCGGCCTGCGTGATGCTGACCACATCACCCATTGTGTGCCGATTGGTCTATAAAAATATGGGTCTAGCCCTATATGCCCTATACGCCTAAAGGCGTGGAAAATGGTCCTTCTCTCTTTTTTTTACTTTACCTGTGTGCCATGATGTTGATGCGTTGTTCAAACCTCAACCTTACACCAGTTAGCAGGGCTAGGGCGCGCTCGATTGCTTGGTATGCTGTGACGGTGTGAACACTTAGGCTATCAAAGACTCTTTTAATCCATCTTTTTCTCTCGTTCACCTTCCTAGTCTGTTTCTTGGTGTCTCCATTTTCATGCTGTACGCTCTTGCAGCTGGTATCGTCGGATTCATTCTCGCTTGGTGGCCGAACCATTTCAGTCGTTTCTCAGCTAATTTGAAGGTAGATATTGCTTCATTAGCTATTCTAATTTCAGCATTTCTCACACAATCTCTTCTGACTTAGCTCGCAAAATTTCTAAGACATCTCATTCCACGAGTGGTTTGTGTTCTCTTGTCTTCATTGGTTAATCTCTGCGTTTAATAGACAGGTGGGGTACCTTTAAATTTCTCTTCAAAAATTAGTATAACAATTTCTTTTGCCTTTTTTACCAGCATGTGAGCAGGTGGCAACACAAAGTGTGGTCCAATGCTTCTCTGTAACTGGCTCACATCCAGAGCGCTTCCTTAGCCAGAACGCTTCGATTACTGATGACAGGTATTCGATTATTGGCGGGAATCAAACGGAAGTGGACAGTTTTTGCAAGTAAGTGACAGCTAAAAAAAGAGATTTTCACCAAAGATTTAAGAGTATAGCCGGTGCATTCGATAGTTCTGTTGACTTGCTGCATTCAAAAAATCACTATCCTTTGCATGTGCAGTGAAATAAGTGCGTGTTACTAGGCTTACATGGACATTTTTTTTTTTATTATAATTGTAGCAATGAAAATACAGTGGTACCTCCTACATACGTATTTAATTCGTTTCTGATGATTGAACGTATACGAAACGGTACTTATACCAAACTTATATTTCCACAAGAAATCAAAAGGAAATAGTTTATCCGTGCCCATCAGAAATATATCATATTGCTAATTGCAGTTTATACACTGATGGTGTTGTATAAACTAATTTATTTACTAAGTAAGTAAAGTAATGATCCATTTTTAAGCCTTCAGGCGCATCGGGCATATAGGAAGAGCACCCATAATTTTACAGACCAATCGGCACTAGATGGGTGATGTGGTCAGCATTAGGCCGGCCATCCTTACTTACCCAGGACAAACATTATGGTACCTATTTTAGGCTGGGTCGACAAGGGACTGTGATAAACATTATGTGCGTTTTTCGTTGGCACAGGAGCGGAACAGCTATGGGGTGACCCGTTTGCAATGAAGCTGAAACTAACATTACCATTACCATTACTATTTTATAGTTACGCAACAACGGCTGTTGGTATATACAGAGATCAATCTTCCTGTATGCTTTCAGAAATCGCCAGAAACTGTTTTCCTGCCTGAGTCCTCTCTCTTTGACATGTCCCGGGCTACTGCAGAGGATGTATTCTCTTGGAGTTGACCTCCAGGCAATGGAGATGGCGACTGGGTTCTTGTGCAACGATCAGCAAAGTGTGTTGTATGGTTGTGTTGTCTGCTACTGATATGGTGCAATTTTCAACTTAAACAAAACTGTTAAAACTGCTTTCTTTTCTCTGCCTAAATATTCTTCACTTTCCTTTTGCTTTACTACAACTACCAGCACCAGTAACACAACCACTACTGCTACCAGTTCTGCTGCTGCCGCCGCTGCTGATACTACAACAACAACTACTACTACTACTACTACTACTACTACTACTACTACTACTACTACTACTACTACTACTACTACTACTACTACTACTACTACTACTAATACTAGTACTACTATGATACAACAACAACAACAACAACTACTACTACTACTACTACTACTACTACTACTACTACTACTA